ATGAAAGACCACGATGTCTTTATGTCCTCTTGCTTCCCTGTAGTCCAAATGCATTTGTTCACAGGTAATCATGGCTAGTACTTCTATATAATGAAAGAGATGGTTCCTATGACATTGACTTTTATTCCCAAAAACGTTTATGTGTTACAGTTATACTCTTCTTTGAATGGTGAAATAAGTCAATAATTCTTAGTGGGCCAATAGAGATCCTGATTTTTTATTTTGAAACAATGATCACAGAAAGGTACTGAGTGCCAATAAAAGGTATCATTCATTAATATTTTAATTGTTGTCTAAACCTTTTACATGCAGTAATATCTTTTAAAAATCAAAGATATCCTGACTGTGTGGCTCAAATGATGAAACAGAGGCAGAACAAGATCTACTAATCTATCCAACATCACCTAGAGAGTAAGAGAACGAACCTGAGTTTGCAGCACAAGCATTGCAGCTCCGTGTCGACCCTGCCTATGACTGTGCTATATTCTCTCCAGAGGATGTCTCTGGGCTGATAGGCACACACGGTGCTGGTCATTGCAGTTGTCTAATCCCATTTACTACTGCACAGCATATTTTTCAAAGCAGGCTGTGAGCCCACATTATGTTATATAAATATGAAAAAAGACTGAAATGCTAACGCAGTGGAAAGAAGTTTAGTTGCACTAATATTGTTGCATACATTTGGACTGAAAGGATTATGAGATTATCTAAATTCGTTTCTTTCTTAATGTGAAAAATAAGACACATCCATAATCATATTTAGTAAAATGACAAGTGTTCTTGCTTTCTCACACGGGGTGTGGACTTTTCCCTTGAGAGTACTGTTTCTGGACTCTGCGCAGAGAACTACTTCTGAGGACTCTGGGTTCTGAGAAACATTCTGTGTAGAAATATGATAGATGTTTTCTACTTCTTGGTTTCTGTTTCCATCCCATTTCACTATCTATCTCAAGCCAAGGGTTCTGAAAAAATGCATAGTAACTGATAATGCTTCTTCGTGACATTTAGGGGCTAGATTGATTCTTGTAGAAAATATCTGTTAATGATCAGGGTAGTGCATGTAAATATAGTAGAAATTGGTATAAGCAAGGATGAAATGGACAGAATTATAGCTCCTAAAAGGCTAACACTTGGAATCAGATAAAGCAAATGCTACAGGAAGTAATTGCTCAATAATTTTGTAGTTCCAGATAAATTCAAGCACCAGTCCTATAAAATTCAGTGAGAGATATACGCAGACTGAAAGTCCTTTGAGATGTGCAAGGGAGTCGTCGAGCATTGCCAGAGCACAGTGCTGAGCTGGGTGCTCCAGGATCGGTGTTAGTTTGGGGACTGAACACATCGTATGGTAAAATCGCTCCCCGTGAATGCTACCAATGTGGAAGCTTTTCCTGTTACCTTACATAAGTAAGGCCTATTTGCATGGATAGCAGAGTAGATAGGTGGAAAGCATCAGCCTTTTCTTTGTCATTGTTAAATCTTGTGCTAAGAAATAACTAACATGTTTTTAAAAAGGAGCAAATGCACGAATGATTGTGAAGGCTTCACTCTATTCTTCCGAAGTGCACTGAGGCTATGAGATAAAAATGCTTACATGCAGGCCAAACAAAATCATGCAATGGGAAAGAGCATCAGTAAAACAGATCCACTGGGCTATTTGGACAAGGAACTCAATAGACTCTTAGCACATTGCCAGTGAGTGTCCACCACTGTGGAAGACATAGTGATGAAGACGCACTCTGTCAGACTCTGTCATTGAACTGTTCAGTTTTCTGGCCAGTCCTGCTCTCCTGAGCCCTCATCTCTGAAGCAAATCTTCCAGAAGACTCAATGGGCAAAAATATCACAGAATTTGTCCTCCTGGGCCTCACTCAGGATCCCAGTGCACAAACAGCATTATTTGTCATGTTTTTACTCATCTACATTGTGACAGTGCTGGGCAACCTGCTCACCGTGGTGACTGTCCTTGCCAGCCCCTCCTTGGGCTCCCCGATGTACTTCTTCCTTGCCTATCTGTCACTTATGGATGTTGTTTATTCCACTGCCATCTCACCCAAGTTGCTGATAGACCTGCTCAGTGATAGGAAGACCATTTCCTTCCCAGCCTGCATGGGCCAGCTGTTTATAGAGCACCTGTTCGGTGGTGCTGAGGTCTTCCTTCTGGTGGCGATGGCCTATGACCGCTATGTGGCCATCTGTAAGCCTCTGCACTACTTGACTATCATGAGCCAAAAGGTTTGCATCCTTTTTATGGTAGTGTCCTGGGCTGGAGGATTTTCACACTCTGTGATTCAACTTGTGTCTGTGTATAATCTCCCCTTCTGTGGCTCCAATGTCATGGATCATTTCATGTGTGACATGTACCCATTACTGGAGCTTGCCTGCACTGACACCTACCTGATTGGCCTCACTGTGGCGGCCAATGGTGGATCCATCTGTATGGTGATCTTCATCCTCCTCCTCATCTCCTATGGGATCATCCTCAACTCCCTTAAGACTCACAGTCTGGAAGGGAGGCGCAAGGCCCTTTCTACCTGCAGCTCCCACATCACCGTGGTTGTCCTCTTTTTTGTTCCCTGCATTTTCATGTATGTCAGACCTGTCTCCACCTTTCCCTTTGATAAATTCATAACAATTTTTTATACACTGGTTACTCCTATGTTAAATCCTTTAATATACACTTTGAGAAATTCGGAGATCAAAAATTCCATGAAAAAACTCTGGTGTAAGAATTGAACCACAGAAACTATAAGCAGGTCTTTATGTTCAGTGCGTTACTAACCCTGAAGGAACAAGTGGCACTGAATTTTAACAAGGGATGATGTAGCCAATTCAGTAGAATTTCCAGATATGCTTCACTTTATTTTTCACAACCTTGAAGAAAGCAGAAAAGAATATTCTTTGAGATTTGAATCAATCTAATGAACACTTTCTCAAAAGTTTATAAAAAGTACAGGTTTTTTTCATGTTACAAGATAAACCAAAGCTCACTTGTAAGTTCCTTGTTCTCAGTTCAACTTGAAATAAGTCTTATTTTAAAAACTAACGTTCTTTTTAATGATGGAAAAGAAGCTATCATTTAAAATTTAATATTAGCTACCTTCATAAGGAAGAATGTAGCTAATGTGTAGACAAATTTCTGGGACTAAACAAATTTTATTTTTTTAATTGAGTTTATTGGTACATTCTAGGTATACAGTACAGTTACATTCATTGTTGGGATCTTGTACCTTTACATGACAGGTCTTGGTTCTCATTTTTCCCCTTGTCCCTGCCAACAAATTTTAAATGGTATTGTTCATTATTGATCAACAGACCAGGTTTGTGTACCTGCATTATGCACGTTGTTTTAGGTTGACTTCCGTGTGTCAGCCCAATGTCTATACATTGAGTCAGGTGTTTCGATAGCAGTTGATACTGTGTTTAGCTGAAGACGTTATCACTGAAGTTTCTCCAAATTAATGGGGTCAAGGTGGAAACTAAATGGTAGTTCTTAAATACAGGATAGAGACATTGTTTCAGAGAAACATGATAAGCCACCTTGAAAGCATGTTTTTATGACATTCCCTATTAGTTAACTTGTGCACTTTTCCCATAGTTCCAAGAATGGGTATTCCTTATTTTGCCTTCATGAAGCTGAAGAAATTCATAAAGAAATTTTTTCATGCAGCTTTGTTCCAAAAGGCTGTAATCAATTTCAATAATTTATTCATGAACTTGAAATATTATTTAGCTATGATGAAAATTTTGTCTTTCAATGTTACATGATAAAGAAAAAACAGTTTTGGGGGTCTCCCATCATCTTGGAGCACCACAAATCAGGAAAAGGATAGAATTACTTTCATTGCCGTGTGGAAACATCACCTATGACTTGTAAAAACTCTCTTTTTAAAAATTATTTTTGCATATTTAATATATGCAATCTGATAGTGTGGAGACATATAGGTAATAAAAGCGTTCCAGAAGCCTGTCAAATTGACCTACCCATCACCTCAGTAGTTTCCTCTGTTTTTTGCTTCTGTTGCAACAGCCAGTAAGGTCCACTCCTCTAGCCCAGGTCCCCAGTGCAGTGCAGTTCATTCCCAGTCCCAACGCACATCAGGCCGATACAAATAAGCAGGGGCAAGCATCAGTGAAGTCTAGAAATCTACTGGCACTACATTTACTTTTTAAACTACATATCCATTTTAGATCTTTTGTGATTTGAAAATGTAATTTTCATCAGATACAGTAGTAGGTAGAAGTTATTTATAAATGTTGTTTTCTTTTAGTAGCACTGAAGATGTTTCTGTGGACCTTCCTGGGTCCAGTCCTCTCCAGTAATCACAATGCTAAAGTTTTTGTGACTAACAACTCAAAATAGTTTATATACAAATGCATATTTTCTGAAATTATTTCATATAGATTTCCTTATCACTTGCCTTTACTAAAATTATATTGTGTGGGACACTGTCTTCTGAATTTTGTGTCTACAGTGTTCATTTCCTAAGATCTTCTTACATGGTTGCACATCATTTTACACCTAATCTTTGCCCTGCTGTACCTCACTGCCCAAGTGAATATACCACATATGATGCATCCATTCAACCTATGATCAAGTGGGGTGTTTCCTGGTTTTGTATTTCTAATAGTCTTCCCATGCCCATCTGAAAAGAAATCATTTGGTGTTAAGCAGGATTTTTATATACTCACTTTTACAAAATTTCCCTCGTGCTGTATTATGTTACACTGCAACCAGCAATGCATAATATTTCCATTGCTCAGCCAGTAATATCGGTGCACACCTGTAATCACATATTTAGGAGGCTGAGGCAGGAGGATCACTGCCAGTTTAAGACTAGCCTGGGATACATCATGGGTTTGAGACCAGCCTGAACTACATAATGAGATTGCCTCAAAAAACCAAACTAAAACAATAATAACAAAACAATCCCATTGCTCTGTATACTTTCTGACAACTCTCTTCATGAAACATAAATGATGATTCTGTCACTTCATGTTTATTTTCTGGTCCAGAGCTTCTTCATGGCATTTTTCATCTCTGCATTTCTCAGAGTATAGATGAGGGGGTTCAGCATCGGAGTGATGACAGTGTAAAATATAGCTAAGTACTTATCAGTGGGCAAGGTAAATGGAGATCTCACAAACAGAACAATGCAAGGAACAAAGAAGAGGACCACCACGGTGATGTGGGAGCCACAGGTGGATAAGACCTTGACCCTTCCTTCCTGACTCAGGTTTTTCAGGGAGTGCACAATGATCCCATATGAGATTAATAAGAGAGCAAAGACGACTGTATAGATCGCCCCATCATTGGCCAGCACTGTGAGGCCAGTAATGTAGGTGTCGGCACACACAAGTTTTAATAAGGGGTACATGTCACAGATGAAGTGGTCGATAACATTGGGGCCACAGAAGGGAAGATTGTAAATGAACAGAATGTGCAGTATAGCATGCACAAAACCCACAACCCAGGACAACACCAAAAATTGAACACACAGCCGTCGGTTCATGATGGTCAGATAATGCAGGGGTTTGCAGATGGCCACATAGCGGTCATAGGCCATGACCCCCAGGAGTATGATTTCAGCACCCCCAAAAAAGTGCTCTGAAAACAGCTGAGTCATACATGCTTGGAAGGAAATGGTTTTCTTGACATGGAGTAGGTCTATCAGCAAATTTGGGGTAGCTGTGTTAGAATAAGCCATATCCATAAATGATAAGTAGCCAAGAAAGAAGTACATTGGAGAGTCCAAGGCTGGGCTGAGCACCACAGTCACCATAATGAGTACATTGCCTGCCATGGTCACCACGTAGACCAGCAAGAACACAGCAAATAATATTTTCTGGCCCTGCAGGCTCTGAGTGAGCCCCAGGAACACGAACTCAGTGACGTTGTTCCTTTGTTCCATGTGTCCTTCTGTGTGTCCTCCTGTAACTGCTCACAACAAAATTACCTGCAAAATAATTATTACTAGTAAGTTTAGGAAATTTTAGGATGCTTATTCATTCCTTATGAATATTCTGCTCCTAAACTCTCCTTTTCATAAGGATTCAGATTTGATGAAGCCTGGAGCCTAACTTTAGGGATCCTATAGAATAATTATGACAGAAATAAAAAATCAGGATCCTGTGAGCAAAGGACAGACTGTGAAAGGAAAATCAGTCTCCCACACTAGCTTGTGTCTGGAAGATAACGGAAGTGCTATGTAATACAACCCAACCTCAAGACTTTTGTATATTTTAACTTCTCATGAACAAAGTAAATGTGATTTTCTACATTCTTGGATTGAAGAAACTTCTCAGCTAATAGAAATCTCAGGTTCATACATTGGACAATTTTTAAATATTTTAAGAATGTACAAAAGGGAACAATAAATAAATAAAAGAAGTTTATGGAGGAGAAGGGGAGAAAAGAGGAAAACAGTTGAGGAGAGGAGAGGAGGGGAAGAGAGCAGGACAGTCAGAGAAATAATGCGGGCAGAGACAGGAAGACGGCACACTCACAATACAAACTCTAAGTGGAATCATCTTCACTAGCACAATCTTCCTTTAAAGTGATCCTAGTGATTTCAGTTGCTCTATAAATATCTACTGACATTTACTTTGACCAGATTCATAAGTTCTGCCCTGCTGCCTCTTCACCGACCTGCAACATCTTTCCTTTTCACTGTGGCCCACGTCTGTGCTCATGCAGTTGATGTAACATCTTTATTACTCTTGTCGCTGCTCTTCCCGTCTTCCCCTCCATTGCCTACACTTATTTTCCTTCCTGTATTGCAGCCTTCTCTCAGCATATTCACACAGTATGTCTTCGTGTTTAAAAATTCTATCCTTTCATCCCATGTCTCTCTCAGTCAAGCATCCAAAAGCAATTCTCTGCTTCTGTTACACACACCCATCACCTAAGTCCAGAGTCAGTTTGAGTTCACCTCTTACTCGATACAACTTTCTTTTGAATTAACCTAGGAGCTGGCTGACTCAAGCGATGTTACACTACGTTCTCTAGAGCCACTCTAACTTCTACAGACTCCAGATCATACTTTAATTTTTAGCATTGGAAACAAAGTTCAGAAGACAGCTCTGTTGACACTATCAGGAAATTGACAAATACCTGCTCACCAAAAACCTCCCTAATGGTTACATGTGCAATTAGTTTGTAAAAGTGCTGATTATTAGAGAAGGAAATTGTATGCTACATTTGTTTTCCCTCATTGAGTTTATTGGTACATTTTAGGGATATAGTACAGTTACATTCTTCATTGGGATCTTGTACCTTTACATGACAGGTCTTGGTTCTCATTTTTTCCCCTTGTCCCTGCCCTCCCTTCACCCTCACCCCTTCCCCTTTACAAACACTTCATTTCCATTTCTTTCATTTTCTCCTATTTGTTTGTTTTCCCTTATTAGCCTTCCCCTACCTTTCCCACTTTCTCTACACCTTTAGCCCCTCTCTTCCTGTTTCACATTGTCCATTATATAATTAGGATCTTATGTCCTATAATAGTTTATTCACACCAGAGAAACTATTTGGTATTTACACATGTGTGTATGCTACATTTTTATAATTTTGACATATATATGAGGCACGTTCAATGTTGGAGTCAATATAAACACATCTTAGCAATAACGAAGGACTGTACCACGTATCTACTTTAAAGACTAAGTATCTTTGTCATCCGTGTACATAATGAAAATCCTCCTTTAGAATCATACAAGTACATGACCTTCCTGAGTTACCTGCAAAAGGACAGAGTCATTTGTTCCCCTTTCTGGATTCTGGTGCTTCTCCTGGGTCCTAACTGATGACAGCTTCATGCACCAACAACATCTCTCCATATGCAGAAAATGAAATACTCAGGAATCATAGCGGCACCTTGGAATGTTCCCAGAGACCAATTCTTGCCATGCTTGCAGGAAGTTTGATTCCCCGGGCATTTAAAAGATTACTTTTAAAATTGGTGCCAATTTTTAAACTAATATCAGCAATGCCCTGTAACCTCAAGAATTCTGAATCTCTTTAACAGACACCCAGATCTTTATTTTTGGCAAAATTGGTCCTTAAACAAACAAATTAAATAAACTTTTTGAGGTTTAAAAAAGTAAGTTTTGTCGGAAAAGGAACCATGAATAGCTGAGACATATATTTGGAATTTATAAAAAATAAAACAATGAACTAGCCTTCAGAATATTTGAATTTCTGGGCAGATATAGTGGCCTGACTTCATATACTGTAGTTGAATACAGAACAAGCTAAAAGAATGAAAAATTGAAACCCTATTCTATCATGCCTTGAGTATAGTTTTTTTACTGCTAAGAAAATAGTTATATGAATATTAGTATAGACACACATTCCCAGGGATAAGGACCAAGACTTTGGACACCTTATCTGTATTTGAATCATATTGCATATTATTGAATCATTCAATTGCTCTATCTCAATGGGAGATGTTTCCTTAATTAAACCCAATGAGACCTTCAGCAGGATTCTGGGGGTAGGCGGTGCACTGAGAGGTCAGAAGAGTAAAAGTGACCTAGAACATGATGTCCACAGACACAACCTCAGAGGGAATTCTCAGAGTTGAAAACTCGAAGTCACATCTACCACAAGGAAGAATCCAGTCTGGGCAGAACTGAAATATATAAAACTCTCTTATTAAAAACCTCCCTTGGTCTGGAATGTAGACCATGGCACCACACCTGCCTGGCAATGCAAAGTCCTGAGTTCAAGCCCTGGTACCTGACAATACTCTTTTCTTATTTATTTAAGGAAGGAAAAGAGTGAGGGTGGATATAAACAAAATTTTCAAGTGTTACCATTGTCCATATTATCTCTCTGGTCATGAATATTTCATTCTTATGAGGTTTTTGACTACTGACTCAGTCTTTTTACGTACTATTGATACCTTAATTGTTTTATTTCATCTGGATTTAGTCTTGATAGATAGCACTTGTCCAGGAGCACATCTATTCCTTGGAATATATATATATATGAATTCTTAATTATTTTGTGAAAGTGATGTATTGAGTTCTACTACTACTAGATTAGTGCTTATTTGATTTTTCAAGTCTGTTAATATTCATTTTATGTATTTAGGTGAACTAGTATTTGGTGCATATATATTTATGACTGTCATTTCTTCCTCTTTGGTTGTTCTCATTACAAGAATGTAGTGACTGTCTTTTTTTTCACATCTTCAGCTCTCCTTTATTTATAGAGTTTTAGGTAAGTTTAAGCCATGGCAGTTGCTAGAATTACACATGCAACTGGCCAGAGTGACATCTATAAAATATAAATTTCATCTAAATGTAGATTTCCAATATGGATTTCTTTTTGTGACTGTCTTTATCTCTCTTAATTAGTTTTGCTATAAAATTCACTTTGTCTGCTAATAATATAGCTACCCCTGTTTTTTTCCAGGTTCCTGTCGCATAAAGTATTGCTTTCTATCCTTTGATTTTCAGTCTATAAATTTCTTTTTTAATTAAGTGAGTTTCTTGTATGCAGCATATTGTCGGATCTTGCTTCTTGATCCATTCTACCAGTCTGTTTCTTTTAATTGGTCAACTGAGGCCATTAACATTGAGAGTTATAACTAACATACATTGACTTATACTTGTCATGACATTTTCCTGTTGTTGGCTCTTTTATTTTTTACCTTTCCCCTTCTCCATGTAATTTCTTGCCTTGCCTGATAGCTTCATTCACCTCTGCTGTGAGAAAGGTCCAAGGGCATCCCTCACAGTCCAGACAGGGTTGGCCCTAGATCTTCATGCAGGTGAATTCTTTAACCTTGATGCTGTTCTTTCCCCCAAGGAGTAGTGGGATATAAGCTAGTACAACGATTATGGAAATCAATGTGGAGATTCCCCAAAAAGATAATAGGAGAATTTAATTTGACTCACCTATTCCTCTTCTGAGTATCTTCCCCAAAGAGTTAAAGTCATCAAATCACAGCAATGTATGTGCTATAGGACTATGTGCTATGCTGTAATGAAATCACAAAATACTGAGGAAACAAATGAAAAGGAATCCACTCATTCAATCTTGTCAAGAGATTAAAAATACCTGCACACTAAAATACTCTATAAATAGTTACAATAGAAAATAGTGTGTAAGAACACTGAAGCTTCAGATGCTCACAACATTCTGAATTTTTATGATATTAAAATATCTGAGATTATTAAAGTTAGAATCAGTCAACACATATCTTAGCAACCACAAAGGACCCTCTGATACAACTGACCATCAAAATTATAAGAATTTTTAATAGATTATGAGTTCCTTGAAAATGTTGAAGTCAATACAGATCCAGCAGAAATCCAGAGGATCATCAATACCTACTTCAAGAACTACTCTAATGAATGGAAAACCCAGAAGAAATGGAAAGATTTCTAGGTATATATGAATTATCAAAGTTAAATAAAGAAAATATAAAAATTATAAATAAATAAGGTTCAAAGTGTATAATTGATAATGTGAAACAGGAAGAAAAGCTCTAGAAGAGTAAGGAAAGTGCCAAGGGTAGGGGTAAGGGAAAAAGGGGACAAAGTGGAAACAAAGTCTTTGTAAATAGAGAAGTGTGGAGCAGGAAAAGGGAAGGTAGGGAATGGGAGAAAGTAAGAACCAAGATACATCGTGTCAAGGTACAAGATCCCAATGATGAATGTAACTGTACTGTACATCTAAAAAGTACCAATAAACTCAATGAGAAAAATATATTGTGAGTTCCTACATCACCCATGTACTGTAGTTGTGCACCGTAAATCCTGCTATGGAATCATACAAGTAAACAGTTACATTCATAATGACAAAGTCGTTTCATCCAAGTTGTACATTTTGATGCATTCTCCCGAGTTGGAAGTATACAGCTAGGTGCTCTTAAAAGATAAGAGCTTAACACACCAGCGC